TAATGTGAGGTAATAAATTAAAATGCTCAGCGTACATATCGATGTATCTATTTTTCAATATAATTAAAAAAATAATAATAATCGTGAGAAATCATCAATAAGAAATAAATTTACTGAAAAAGGTTTACTTTTCTATTAGTGAATGATTCATATAAGTTGGCCAGTCAAATGGAATTGGAAAATCAGAAAACGTCGTCTATTACAGGGATTCAAATAGATAGATTACTTTATGAATTCAATTCTTTTGACACACCACAAATTAAAATCAATACAAAACCATTTCTTTAGATGTGTTAGTTAAAACACCTTTATAAATTGAATAAGGATCTTTAAAACTTTCACAATCATCTTTATATCTCCATATTCCACCAATAAAAGAATTTTGATCAAAACAAATTGGAATCAAATCATTATCTAGACATTGTTTTATTGCCGTTAAACCAGAGATTCCTAATATAAATTTTATTAAATCATTTTATTTGGAAAAACATTAAATTTTTTTCGATATTCAAACGCTTTTAAAAATTTTATCTTACCTGCGCCTATAATCGCAACATGTGTAGCCATATTGATATTAGTGTACAGTACTGTACTATACGTACGTACGTACCTTTTTTTACATCCCGGAATTTATATCTATACGGTGCAATTAATTACCAAAAAAAAACCAAGCATTTTATGACTTTTATTACGTATTTCGGTATGATTTTCAGGACTAAAAAGTTTATTAGGCACAATGAAGTGATACACAGCTGACCAAGTTAAGCCTCAACAATAAGTAGCGGTAGCACAATAATTTCAGGCAATAGCAAATACAGCTTAAGGTGCCTGAAATTATACCATTAGCCACTACTTATAATATTTTGTCTTTTGTCCATGATCGAAAGTTCCATTTATAAAATTTATAGTACTCGAGTGCATTATTGAAAAATCCGATAATTGTCCTTCGCTACGCTCTGGACAATTACGATTAGTGAACGAGTAAAGTGATACCAAAGTTCCATTCTTGATGTATTAAAAATTCTGATTCTGGTGCACAAAATTAATAAACCATAACAATAAATCAAGAATGTAATTTTGTAAAGAATGTTTTCTGTGCACGAAACAAGACGGGATGGTAAATGACCTGATGACGCAAATGATAAATGACTAATGTGAAAGTGGTGACTAATAATTCTATACTAAAACTAACTAAACACTAATCTAAACAGCTAAACAATCCACTATCGGGCTTCAAGACACCTAAACCTTGAGTGGAAGGCTTCGAATAGAGGCGTGGAAGACTTGGTCCGAGTTTCAAGGTCCTT